ACCAGGTAATTAATACAGTGATTGTGGAAATGGGCTCAAATGTGTCAGAGATTGTGAGGATGGTACAGGATTAGACAGAGTTCAGATCTGTTGTTTATAGGGTCGTTATGTATGAGTTGTACTCAACTTGATGGCACCTAACAATAGTGACAACAATAAGAAAAGGAAGTTGCCCAGGTGGCTTAGTGGTAAGAAATTGCACTGCCAACCCAAAGGCACACAGTTCCAATCCACCAGCTGATCCAAGGAAAAAAAGATAGACAATCTCCTCCTATGTGATTTACTGTCTCTGAAAACCTGCTGGAGAGTCTATTATGAGTTCACCTCAACCTTAACAATGACAAAAGCACCATAAATTATTGTGGTGCCTCTGTGTCATCAAGTTACCTGTGACTCATAGCGACCCTATCTACAACAGCTCTGAAACCTGCCCTGTCCTGAGCCAGTCTCACTGTCACCGATACACCCACCCTGAATGCCCCAGTTACTGTACCAATCCATCTCATCCAAGTTCTTGCTCTCCTGCACTGTCCCTCCATTCTTCCAAGCCTGATGACTTTCTCCAAGCACTGGGCCCTCCTGGCCACATGCCCAAAGTATGTGAGATGGAGCTTCAAAATCCTAGCCTCCAAGGAGAAACTTGCTTTCACCCTCTCCAAGACAGACCTATATGTTTTCTTGACAATCTAACAACACAGGATAGAATTTCCCCACAGGGTTTTTCCCCCCCTCTACTAGTTTATTTACAAAATTCAAATACAAATTTGAACAAATTCTTTCAACTTCCCTCACCATCCCCCATCAAATTGTACAACCCAGTGATTAATCTCCCTTGCTCTCTGTACATCCATATCCTCTGTTTCCAGCCTTTCCCATCCCTCCTGAGTCCTTATACTCGTTCTACAATAACGGTTTAATACAATATGTATCCTTGTGGGCTGAGTTAGTTCACGCAGCATAATGCTCTCCAGTCCCTCCCAGGTTAGGTAATAATTTACAAAGTTATTGCTCCTGAGTGCTGCGTAGTATTCCATTGTGTGAATGTACCATAGTTTCTCAATCCATTCCTTTATGGTTGGACATTTGGGCTGTTTCCATGTTCTTGTGATGGTGAATAATGTTGTTATAAACATTGGTGTTCAAATTTCAGTTTGTACCTCGGTTCCCATATTCTCAGAGTATATTCCAAGTAGTGGAATAGCTGGGTCATACGGAATTTCTATGTTCAGCTTTTTGAGGAAGCGCCAACTGCCTTCCAGAATGGTTGCACCACTTTACAATTCTACAACATGTATAAGAGTTCCTTTCTCATCACATCCTCTCCAACATCTATTACTTGCTGCCCCATTAAACTTTGCCACTCTTATTGGAGTGAGATGGTCTCTCATTATGGTTTTGATTTGCATCTCTCTTATTTCCAGCGATTTGGTTTTGAGAACCATAAATCTTTACAGGAAGAGATTGACCGTTTTCCTCCTACAGAGAAGCTGGTAGATTTGAATCCCTGACCTCTGGGTTAGCAGCTCAACACACAATACACAATACACAGTATCACAAGGTGTCTTGTGCTGTATAAAGTAGGTGGAATAATTGAATCTACCACCACAGCACTAAATGCTTCACATTTAACATCTACAGCTGAAGTTATTTCTGAACTCAGAAGTCTTCCAACTGCTCCCTTAGTTTCCTCCACTACAAACATTATCTGAAACTCATTTTGTATGCTTTTATCATGAATTATTTCACTATGTATACAGCATTGGCCCCGCAAAGTCAGTGTGCTTGATATGTTCTCTATTTACCTATGATGTGACTAAAAGAACAATACTTAATATTGATGTCTGGAGCTGGCTGTCACTTGAGATCCTTGGAGAGATTGTGCCACTTCCAGAGAAAGTGTTGACATTAGAAAATGTGTCTGAAGCATAAATTTTGTCTGAACAAGTTTGATAACTTACTGTCCATAGTGTCAATCTTCCTGCAGAATGGTGAAGGAAAAGAGGCATCTGTCATGATTTATTCACGGAATATTATTAGAACTTGCTAACACTGCATGGTGCAAGATTGGGAAGGGTGTGCATCAAAGATGTGTCCTATCTCCATAGCTTTTCAATCTATATGCGGAACAGATTGTCCAGGAGGCTGGGCTCTACGAGGAGAAGTGTGGCATCGTGATTGGAGGAAGACTCATCAACAATCTGCATTATGCAGCTAACACAACCCTGTTTGCTGAAACTGAGGAGGACCTGAAGTGCTTGCTGCAGAAGGTCAGGACTGCAGCCTTCAATATGGACTGAAGTTCAACGTCAAGAAAACAAAGATTCTCACCTCTGGGCCGATTGGCAGTATCATGATGGATAATGAAGAGATTGAGATTGTTGACAGCTTCAGTTTGCTCGGCTCTACAATCAACAGTCTTGGTACCAGCAGCCAGGAAATTAAAAGACAAATTGCATTGGGAAATTCTGCTGTCAGAGACCTCTCCAAAGTATTGAAGAGCAACGATGTTAGTCTGGAGACTAAGGTGAACCTGATAAAGGCCATGGTCTTTGTAATTACTTGCTATGTATCAGAGAGCTGGACAATGACTAGGGATGATAGAGTTGATGCCTTTGAGCTTTAGTGCTGGAAAAGAGTATTGAAAATACCATGGACTGCTAGGAGAACAAACAAGTTTGTCTTGGAGAGGGTGAAGCCAGGCTGCTCATTGGAGGCAAGGATTCTGAAGTCTGACATACTTTGGACATGTTGAAAGACGGGATCAGTCCTTAGAGAGGATGTAATGTTTGGGAGGGTGGAAGGACAGCCCAGAAGAGGAAGACCCTCGATGAAATGGATTGATTCAGTCACTGGGATAATGCGAATAGGAATGTTGGAGTCAATAAGATTGGCAAGGGATAGAGCAGAGTTTAGAGCTGTTATACCTAGGGTCACTATGAGTCACAAGCAACTTGAGGGCACATAACAACAACATTTACAAAGTATTTACTGCTTTTAAAACCTGTTCTATATATGCTGCATAGACTAACTCCTTTAAACCTTACAAGGATTCTACCATTTTTATTTGGAGATGAGGAGCCTGAGGCAAAAATTATTAAATATTTTGCCATCAAGAGTTACAGGAGCCTTGTCAGAGAAAGAATTTGAACCCGAGGGTTCTGAATTTCTCTTCTATGAGATGGTGATCACATTGCCTGGGGCACCTTCAAGTTCAGAGAGTATTTAAAGGTTGAAGGTTTACTTAGTAGTGAACTGCAATTGATTTGATGTCACAATGGTCTACAGCATTGCTACATTCAAGCTCCCTGCTATTCTATTGCTCACCAGTCCATACAGAACTTAAGGACTACATTAAGGGATAAATGACATTATTGACACACAATTTTTAAAATACCTGGATGTAGCCCTAAATCTGAGTCTTTCAGTCACATCAGCTAGTTCCATCACACAGATTATTACAAACCGTTCTTCCTGGTGATAGAGTTACATTTACCTCAAAAAAGTGTAAAGGCTTTGCAGATAGGAATCTTACCTCAGCTGTCAAAACTGAAGAAGGGTAGGTGGAAATGGTGGGACTTTCTATAAGTGCTTATCTGAGGAGTGGGCCAACTTGCCGTCACAAGTTTCTCTGGCTTATATCCTGCCACTTTTAGGTCTACAGCAGGAGCCTTCCTGCTGAGGTACAAATCAAGAAATATCTCAAGGCTTGTCACAGTCAGATCCTCCTGGTCTATCTGAGGATAATTTCATTAGTGCCCAGGGACCAGCGGTAGTCTCCTGAGAAGGAGATGCACTGCCAACACAAAGGCACACGGTCTGGAGCCTATTTAGCTGCTCTCTGAGAGAAAGAAGGGCAGTCTCCTCCTATGTGATTTACAGCCTCTGAAACCCCACTGAAGGGTCAGCAGTGTTATTAGTTCTGAATTGACAGCACATAACAACAGCATTCCACGTTACTGCCTTGTCAATACTCACTCTGTCTGTCAGCCGAACCACAAGAATTCTTTTTATTAGAGATAAACCTGGCTCGCTCTGGACTCTCAGTCGATAGAAGGAAAGGTGTGGAGTAAAGTCTCCCAGTTGTGAAGAGAGTATTCCTTCAAGGACAGAAATAATGAAAACATTTTCCTCAGAGCCAATTTACTTCTTTTTTCTACTACTGAAGATTCACTAAAACTGAAGAGCAACAATATATTACATCCCCCTGGTTTCAGGTCATCTCAGTTGTGTCTCTTCTCAAGATAGTCACCAAAAAGGAACTTTATATTCAACAAAAGGGGAGATGTGTTAAGTATGGCGGGAAGTGCTATGCTGCAGAATTTAGCTTTTGAAATGCAATAGAACTCAGATCATAAGAACAATCACTTAATTATTTTCATGCTAAACCTATACCTAGAACAAGAGTCTGTTGTCTGAATAGAACAAGGAAATGGGATTTTAAATTAGGAAATATATGTATCAGGGTCCCAGCCTCTCTTCACACCTATTCAATTTGTATGCTGAGAAAAATCACTCGAGCAGCTGGACCCTAGGAATAAAAATGTGCTGGCAGGGTCAGAGGATGACTTATTAAAAACCTGTGCTATGGGGATGTCACAACTCTGCTTGCTGAAAGTGAAGACGACTTGGAGTTCTTGCTGCAGGAGGTCAAAGACTATACAGCCTTCAATATGGATTACATCTCAACATCAAGAACACAGAGATTCTCACCACTGGACTTCTTGGTACCTAAAAACAACAACAAGGAACCATTGTGTTACAGGCTGCTCTAATTATCTCTTTCTGTTGTCAGCTGTCATTACGTAGGCCCCCAACTCAAGCAGATTCCATGCACAATGGAAACAGACTATTGTGATCTAGGGGAATGTTTAAAAGTTATTACATAAGTGAAAGTTTGCAAATTGGTATTTGTTTTGGGGGGGTTGGTTTTGCTTGTTTGCTTTTTGGGTTTTGGGGTGGTGTTTTTTGGGGGTATTAACAGTAAGATTTATTGATCTGTATCATAGTACAGGCGCCAGGGACTTGCCCATAGTGCTCTGGATGTACAAAGCCCGAACATTCTGCCAATTCTTCTTTAGCAGTGAAATCAGAAAGCTAAAAGCCAGGTGGATGTTGTAAACAAGTTCATCATCTGTCATCTCGACACGGCCCACAGCCACCGCCAGACACAGGACCTTTTTCATCTGGAATTTGGTGGTGGACTTCACCTTGTCTACTTTTGCCAGCATGTTGTCATTGTGGGTCAGCAGAGAAGGGAACTTGCCAGGCTTGTTCAGCCCTGGACCTAGGATTATTGGGATCGGCTTGATCAGGGATTCAGAGGCCAGAAAGGCATCACACTTCCTGGCCAGCTTTTTGACCAGCTTCTTATTCTTCTTGAGTGTTCTCAGCGCTTCACTGTCCATGTGGGGGATAGCCACAGCCTTGGCTTCATCACAGTGCTGCTGATCCCCAAGAACGCACACTGAGAGCTTGGGGCGTGGGGTGGACTTAAGCCTGACGGTCCCCAAGAAGCGATCTGCAGCTCCACGTCTCTAAAAGCTTTCCGCGTTTGCGTTGGTTCCAGTGCAGGACTTCCCGCACCGCCTCCTAGAGGATGTCGCAAGAGAATCGGCTGCTCATGGTTCTTGGTGCAGCAGTAACCAGGAAAAAACCCACAAATTGGGTTTTCTTACCCAACTATTCATTCACATTTTGTTTTAAAACATTAAATATAGTACTCACTTTCCCTGTTTCCTCTCCATAATTTCCATTTCCATGAAGCCTTCTATTTTGCCTCTTCCTCCTGTGAAGGCTTTATCCTTTGGCAAATGCTGCTTTCTTGACCTTCAGCGTTTGTTCATTCTAATGAGTGAATGGCTCCCAGGTGCTTATTGATCGATAGATCACCGTATATACTTGTGTATTGTTCAGCTGAAGTTGAACCACGGGAGAGTAAGTATAGTCCAAGATCAAAGGTCTCACAGAATTTTTATTTATTTGGGTTTTCTTGGTTTTGTTTTGGCTTTTTGTGGGTTTTTTAAGGTGTTTTTTTTTTTTTTAAATTAATTTCAATGAAAGTTTACAGAGACTTGGGGTTTCCAGTCATTCATTGTTGCACTTTTCTCCTTACCCACCCCAACACCCCCAATTCACCCTTCTCCTTGAAAAGTAAAAGAAAAACTCTTTCAATGTTATGCAATCCCTCCCCCCAAATCCACTCCACTGTGCAGCCTTCATTCTGGACTCCTGTCATGACAATAATACTCAATCATATATCCCTTTTAAACATTCTCTCCCTCATCTGTTTCAATGAACATCATTCATCCCCTCCTTCTCTGTCTTCCCTCAACCTCGATGTCAGTCCCATTTTACAACAGTGGCCCTACGCAATATTTGTCCTTTTGTGACTGAGATATTTCACTCAGCATAATGTCCTCCAGGGTCACCTGTTTTGTATAATATTTCATGAGTTCCTTGGTTTTCAATGCTGCATAATATTCCATGTGTGAATATACCAGAGCTCCTCTATCCATTCATCTGTTTTTGGACATTTGGGTTGTTTCTAGTTCTTTGCTATTGCGAACAAAGCCACGTGGGTATGCTTGTTTTTGGTTTTTACGTAGAGTTTTTCTATTGTTGTTTTTTGTCTCTCTGATTAGAGCGAACTTGTCTTGGATTAGAATCTCTGTTGAAACTTTTCCAGCTTTACAGGACCATCCAGGTCACCACAAAAGGGAAGTGGGTGGCTCTGTGTGAGGTAGATTGGCTGGGAACAGAAACCAGGGTGCGGGCAAGAGTTCTACCACAGAACCACTGCTGCCTTCTCCAGTTATTTGTGACTAGATAATGAACTACTTTAAAGTTGGACAACCTAAGACAACAACGACATTTCTTTTGCTCATGATCTCATCGTTAATAAATATAGGCAGCACCAAGCAGAGATGACTACTTATCTTTGCTCCAGGTGACACAAGCTGGGGGAGGTAGAAAGCTGGAAGCTAGAACTACCTGAAGAGTCATTCACTCATTACGCAGTCATCAGAAATCCTACCTGGGGTTCTTGGTTCAGGTATTCACTTGTGATTTCTTTACATGTCTTTCACATTCTTGCAACCTGATGGCTGCTTTCAAGGGAGCAAGTGCCCAGACAAAACACAGATGGCCAGGCAGAAATGAGATGAATTTTCTTTCACCTTCTCTAGATTCAGCAGTCACATAGCACCATGTATGTCACCTTCTGTTGGCTGAAGTCACAGAGATCCATATAGTTCCAAGAGAAAGAAACGCAGATTCTATTTCTTAGCAGACACAAGTCTACAGCACATTGTAAGATCATGAAGGGAAGCTATCTATTGATGTAGATATCTTCAGAAAACACAATCAGTCACAAAGCACTATTTGTTTCATGCACGTATTTTTCACTAAGTTCAGACAGTACATGGGAACCTATCTCACACCTCATTCTTTTCTTTACATGAACTATCTCCTTTCTAGATTCAAAGGATAGATGGAACCTTTCCAAAGTTTACTCTAACACTGGTGAAACTCCATGCAAAGTATATATGTGAAGGACTTCTGCTGTATGAGTGACCCAAATCAAGTCCACTACGTTGCAGTCAACTCTGTCTAGTAGCAAGTCTCTCTCTGGTTTCCCAGAGTACAAATCTTTACAACAACACCCATCTTTCTTCTGAGGAAGGCCTGGTGGATTTGACCTGCCAACCTTAAAGTTATCAACTTGACACATTACTCATTCCATCATTTTTTTACGCATGAAGTCTCCAGGGGTTACAAGAGTTAACGTGTTCATCTGCTTATAAGAAGACTAGATGTTGGCAAACTCTGGTGTCCTAGTGGCAAGAAGCTGCACTGTAATCCCAAAGGTGGCCAGTTCAAATCCACCAGATGCTCTGCTGTAGAAGGAGGGACAATCTCCTCCTATACCAGTCAGATCTGATTTGATGGTACACACAAAAAAATAATAAAATTTTTTAAAAAATTTTTAAGGAAGACTAGATGTTCAGTTCAACCACCCAGGGAAAAGCCTGGTATTCCACGTAAAAAAACAAACAAACAAAAACAAAAAAAACAACCTCTTCATGTTACAGTTCGGCTACATGAACCGGAATCAACTCGACAGCAACTTAGGATTTCCTTTGTAAGAGTGTGTAGTCTTCAGGATAATTTTTGTAATGAACTAAGAGAAGATCTGAAGGCTATATAGACTAAATTTTAATATTATGATTAACTTTATAATGTCATGTAAATTATATTACAAACCACTTGCTGAATGCCTACGCTTTCTTGTTTGAAAATAGTGGTATTAACATTTCCCACTCATATCCTTGGGGTGTTATGAAAATTAGCATGTTAATGAATGTAATGAGTTTGCATGTGAAAGAAAAGTAACTACACAACTAGAGAATAATCATTCCATTATCTTCCCGTTTGGAGATAACGAATCACAGCTTCCATCGAAGTCGACATTTGCCGGCAATCCACACAACAGAGATGATAAGGAGAACTCGCCGTGATTGACACAATTCTCAAAAGAGCAACAGCTGGAACACTGTGTCACATCAATACTCTGTTCTCCAGGGAATGGAATTATTAAACGTTACACCTTTTGGAAACGATTTGCTTCAGTCTAGATTTTGCTAATTGGGCCACCAGATTCTACCAACCATTTTGGAGGAATAAAAAGAAATGCCATGGTTTGTTTTGAAAAGATCAGATCTCCTGTAACTAACACACTGGAAAAAACAACCAAGAAAATCCATTATTCTCCTGTTAATGCAAAGAATATTACTTTGTGAAAAAAAAATCAAAATCAAAGAGGGTTGTTATTCTAAAACCTGATAAAAGTGTTAAAAATGCAAAAAAATCTTTGTTTTCTTGACAAAAGTTATTCATGATTTCTATTAACAGAAGGAGCCCTGAGGGTCCCATGGAAAATGGGTGGAACTGCTAATTCAGAGATGGGCAGTTTGAATCCACCAGCCACTCTGAGGGAGAAAGATGGACATTCTTTTCTTGTAAATCCAAAGAGTTTTTATGACTTGAGGGGCAATGGGTTTGGCTTGAGGCTAACAATAGTAAAATCCCATCATATTTTAAAATGAGTTGTTTTATAAAGACACAGAGAAAAAGCAAGGTGAGAAAATGTACTGCATTTGTTTTAGGAAAAGTTTGTGGAAACAATAAGGCTTTAGACAAAAAGATGTGAACATCTGTTGACAGAATCGAAGGGCACTTTGCTTTTTTTTTTGGTTGAAGTTATTTAATTCATTTTTATTTTTTTACTTTGAAGCATCAGCGCTTTAAAACGTTCCCTTGGTAACTAAATTATTAGTGCTATTTGCTTAAACTTACTGCATTTGAGGCAAATTCTTTTATAAAAGAGGATTTGAGTGGGCCATTTTTAAAATTAGAAGCTATAAATGGAAATAATTAAATATTTAAAACTTGCTTTTGGTACAGTGAAAACTGTTAGCAAATTAAGATCATTTTTCCAAACAGCTTTCTGAATGTACAGGAAGGAGTAAAAAATAAACAAGTGAGGAGACTGAAATTGTACAGGGGTATTCAAGATTAATAATACAAATTGGCTGGACACTGCATTCAATGTACTAATAATACCACCTGTCCCACTTATAAAGAAGTCAGTTTTATTCTTTCACAGTTGTATTTGGTGTATAACCCCAAACCCACTGCGAACAAATCAGTTCTGATTTACAGTGACCATACACTGAGTTTCTAAGACTTTCAGTCTTTAAGTGACTGTCCCTGGGCCTCCCATCGAACAGTTGGTGGATTTGAACTGCTGACCTTTCTGCTGTCAGCATGATAAACATTATGCAACCATGTTGTTGTTATGTGCCATCGAGTCATTTGCGACTCATAGCGACCCTATCTATATACAAGAGCTCTAAATGCTCTTCTATCCTGTGCCAATCTCGCCATCTCAAATGCACTTATTATGAAGGAGTAACAGATGAGGAAGTGAAGAAGGTAGAAAAACAAACATTTTAAGATCCAGTGTTTAAATATTATTTGAAGGCAATGTAACTTTTTACTCCTGAACTGAGTCAGTATTTTTGGAAATCTGTCCAGTTAGATAAGGAAAATTGGACAGTTAATAAGGACAACAGAAGAAGAATCGATGTCCTTGGATTATGATGTTGGAGAAGAGTACTGAATATCAACAGACAGCCAAAAGGACAAATAAATATGCCTTGGAGCATGTGCAACCAGGGTGCTCTACAGAGGCAAGGATGGTGAATCATCATCTCATATACTTTGGGCATTTTGTCAGGAAGGGACAATGTTTCAAAAAACACATAATGCTGGCAAAGGTAAAAGGTGAGAGAAAGGAAGACCCTCAAGAAGAGGGCTTGACACAGTGACTGTAACAATGGGCTCAATCAGATCATGATAGGATAGGGCAAGGTGCAGAGCGCTCATTCACAGGGTCGCTATGAGTCATAGACAACTCAACAGCACCTAACAACAACAAATCTAAGAAACCTCCACTGTACAGTAGTTAAACACA